TGAATGAACATGCTTATAAAGATGCGTAAATTTCAAGATTGGTTATTCGTAACTTTTCGCTTGAGGATGAAACAGAGCTTGATACTTTAATTCAATTTAATTTTAATAATTATATTGAGTTTTTCGACCCTCGTTTTTGAAACATGAGAACGCTTATGTAGCGAAGGAATCATATTTTAAAAAAATATTTATAATTTAAATTGTCTACTTCTGTATGGAGCACTGTTTTTTTTTTTTTTAAAAACAAAAATACTAAAGAACTCCAGATTATTTACCTAACGTGTTCTTTCCTATTTTCTACATATCTGCATATATATATATATATATATATATATATATATATATATATATATATATATCACATTAATGGTGGGAGACTGAATGACAAAATATTAAAACATCTATGTAACATGTTTCGTTCTTCAATCAGACCAAAATAATGTTAGTAGTGATGTAATTATATATATATATATATATATATATATATATATATATATATATATGTTACAAAAATTTAATCGTGATACGTTTCGTTCTTAAAGACTATATTGGACTAAATTTGTTCTGTTGATACGACTACACATGCGCTCGAACGTGGGGTGCTGGGGATTTTAGAATTTTTTTTTTAAATTATCTTATTTTTTTCATCTAGTCGAATTCATTGAGAATCTTTTTCTTTCCATCACTTTTGTTAGTACGTCTCCTATACTATGATTATAGAAGATCTACCAGGAATTGTGAAATGTCCTAAGAGCTATAAAGAAAATTTACAGGGCACGTTACGTTTGTAGTGAATTGTTTTCTCCTTTGATCAGAGTAGCATTTTTTATGTCAAACTTGTAATCAGTCTCATTACGGTGGACAACCAACGCATTTGGTGGATTGTTTTGAAAAATGTCAATTGAAGTGTGTGGGGGGGGGTTGTGATGATAAATAAGAATACATACATAAAAAAAATTAACGCACTAATCCAAGATAGCGACACATGCGAAAAAAAAGCCTTCCATTATTTTTCCCAAGTCATGGTAAATCACAAATAATAAAGAAAAGGAATCTGTGGAGAGGCATGATCATTCATGTTTTGAAGAGATATGATAAAGGCTACGGGACGCTACTTCATTTATAAAAAGCCCCTCCCCGCTATGTTGGTCTTCAATTCCTTCTAGCCACCGTAGTTACCATCTAGCTGACTCTGCTCTCGTTATCGCGTTGCTGGTTTGTCACTGGTATCGTGTTGATGAGTACTGTTCTACTCGTTCTATCTGTCGTTTGTCTCTTTCACGATCCTTCATTCTTCTACCACATTGTGTTTGTGATCTCAGAGGGTAAGTAGATCCATGATGAAGTAAACTTAAGAACAGGTTGACGGCGAAGAGCTACACAAAAATGAATTCTTTGGAATAAAGAATTAACTCGGGATAAAAATGTAACAACGTTTATATATTATTTGTTACATACAGTAGTTTTAAGATTTCCCGCTTATAATTAAATGACACTGAGATCCCATTTTGGAGTTTACAGCCTGTGCTAGTAGTAATTTAAATTTCTAAGTTCTGGTCTTCAGGGCCGACACAAAGTCTTTTTTAGTAGGTCTCGACGGACCAGTAGCAGTAATGTGGGTACTCTTCATTTGTTATCTAAACCTCCAGTTTATACGGAGTCCTGCGTCCGGCAGGTATGGGGTTGACCAGGGTCTGAGGTTCGGTTATCTTCAACTATTAACATCAACCTTTTTCTAAAATCTCATATTTTCAGAATATGTTTACTCGAGTAATTTTCCAAATTTAGGGGTTGCCCAATCCCCTTTTGAGAGTGGTCAGAAGAATCAAGCCGCCCCTTAACTCCAACTCCTTTCACGTCACATCACGCACCATCGTACATTATAGTCGATGCTAATCTCTTTCTCCCTTCTCCCACTTTCTCAACATCCAACCTCAGCCCTCTCCAAGTGCTGATACAACTGTTTTTGTGACGAATCTAAACTTTTTGAATGTGTAGGCGAAAAGAGGATTCTAGCCATTAATCTCAAGCTTGTCTCTTTCTTATCGGCTGGAAGTGAAGAAGGATTGGTATTCTTGGTTTTGTTCAATCTTACTGAATTCCGTCTAGTTAAATTTGGGTTCATTTCTCTTTGGAACTGTTTGCGATTTAATTTTAATATTTTGAAATAATCATTTTTCAACGCATTTCATTTTTAATTTTTTCTCAACTTTTCCATCCACTTTCCTGCAAATTTCATCACCATTTACGTCTTGAAAAAAATAAAGAGAACTTTTTCTTTTTCTTTTCCTCATAATCTTAGTTCCCCGTTCTGATGAGAGGGAATGAAACCGGTCGACTGGTGTGTATTTTGTTTTAAATCTATCATGGCCTACAATATAAAATTTCTTGTTTTTAATGCCTTAATATATATATATATTGATTTTGACTTCAGTATCCACTTTTATATCTACAAAAGCTGTATCTCTGACATTTACCATATATATATATTTCTGTGTGATAAACCCGTAGTAGTGCTGGCTTCCAAGGCTAGCTACCACTTGAGGCAACCCTAAGGCATCAGTGTGCTAACTGGTGCCATCATGGGAAGATGTATAGCTCCGTTGTTCTCATTTGTTTTGAAATGCTTCAAGCCTTTTCGTCTGTTTTTACCATGGCTGAAAGGATGCCTGTCGTAAACTGAAAGAACAGTTGGAAGTTGATCCTGACCTTTTTTCGAAGGTCATCACTGGTGATGTAAGCGGGTGCTATGACTACGACCCGGAAACGAAGCAGCAAACAAGTCAGTGGAAGCATCCAACGTCACCACGACCCCCAAAAGCGCTTCAAGTCTAATGTCAAGACGATGCTGATTTATTTCTTTGTTGTGAAAGGAATTCTCCACAAAGAATTTGTTCCTCCTGGTCATACTGCTAACCAGGTTTTTTACTTGGAAGTCCTGAAGCGTTTGAGAGACAAGGTGAGACGAAAAGCGCCCTGACCTGTGGCAAAGTGGAGGGTGGTGTTTGCATCACGACAATGCACCAGCGCACACCGCCTTGAGTGTGAAACAGTTTCTAACCAAGAATGGCATGACCCCACTTCCCCACCCTCCCTATCTCGCCCCATCCGAATTTTTTTTGTTCCTCCGAATGAAGAAAGTCCTCAAAGGAAAACGTTTTGCACATGTGGAAGAGGTTAGAAAGAGTCATTAAAAAAATCATAATTTCACAAGAGTTCCAGGACTGCTTTGAACAGTGGAAAACACGTCTGGACCGGTGCAATGCTTCAAATGGAGAATACTTGGAAGGTGATAAGAATATAAACATGCAACAATAAATGAATAAAATTATATGACACAATTGCTCGTATATAAATATATATATATATATATATATATATATATACAAGATTAAAAGCCGCCCTATCAGACGGCATTTTACCTAGCTCCTGCGGTGGGGTCTTGATTGTACCTTCATCACAAAAGGTGGGGAAGAGTAGATGTGATGAGCAACAATAAACTACAGAAGAACTCCAAATTGATCGCTGTATTTAAGTATTGCATTAATAACTCACCTTTTGAAATTTCAACGATAATTCTTCTGCCTCCATTTAATATAAAGACAGTTTGATGTACGTAGGTCTTTACTTTCCGTACAAACAATTATTTTTATTTCATGGCTGACTTTCGCAATTAATTTAGACAATTGCGAAATTTACTTCTAAGTTATAAAAACTGTTATCGTACAAAAAAATTCACCGCAAAAGAAACAAAAAATCCCGTAAAAAATTCGCCGAAAACAATCACAGCAATGAAAACATGGGAATCCAAAATTTCAGGATTGCGGATCTGGATCCAACTCAGGATGTTTTTAATTTGCCCTCGGAGTCGGCCTGATTCCAAAATGGTATGATATGTTGGGCAAGACTGCTAGGAACAAAATGAAAAAGTGTGACACAGTGATATACTGACATTCTCAAAGTCGATCCTTCAAATCTACAAATCATCCATTCGCCCTTGCATGGAGTATTGCTACCATATATGGTCCGGTGCCCCTTATGTTTGTCTCAAGAATATTAGACGCTCAACTTCCCGAGAGCACCTCTCTGCGGCTGCTCGGTCTCATGTTGACTGCTGACCTAAGATGGAACAAATACATTGAGTCAATTGCTTCGTCCACCGCAAAGAATGTTGGCTCCCTGTGCCGCGCCAGGAAATTTTTCTCCCCGTAATCGATCCTTCACATCTAGAAACCAACAATTCGCCCTTGCATGGAGTATTGCTGACATATATGGACTGGAGCCCCTTCTGTTTGCCTCGGGGTTCTTGATAAGATCCAGAGGCGGATATGCAATATAATTGGCCCTGTTCTGGCATCTCGTCTGCAGTCGGTCTCTCACAGAGATGCCGTCGTCTCCCTCTGTCTTTTTTACAAATACTTTCATGGTAACTGCTCCGATGAGCTGATTTCGCTGGTTCCCAGACTTCATGAATGTAAGCGTTTAACTAGGCCGGCATCTCGCTCACACCCTTTCCCTGACGAAACTGTTTAATGTAGCCGTCTCTTCTACTCCAATAGCTTCATGTCTCGCACCTCTCGCCTGTGGAACTCCCTCCCCTTTTCCTGTTTCCCTGATAGCTATAATCTCCAACTATTCAAATGTAATGTCAATCGACGTCTCCAGGTGCCTTGATCTTTCCCCTACCCTTCTCTTCATCCTTTTCTCTATCAGTCCTCTTTGTTCTCGCTCCAATTCTCTGTAACCCCTTGCGTGCTAGTGGCTTCCCGCCTTGCTTGGGGTGACACGCTTAAAATATATATATATATATATATATATATATATATATATATATATATATATATATATATATACACGAATATGTCTCAAATATGTTACGTACAAATGGTGGAAGAAATTGCACTGGGTGTGTAACGTGGATACAAAGTTTCCTGCCGCCATTATTTAAGAATAATTCTATTTTTTTTTTTATTTCATGACCCAGCGAATGACCCCTTAACGATTTTTGGAGAAATAAAAGCGTATACGAAAAAAAAGGTAAGAGAGGAGGTGGAGAGAGAATTTCTGGGGAGAAAGAACGACAAACGGAGAAACGGAGATACAAAGAGTGAGTGAATGAAAGAGATTGACAGAGGAGAGAGAGAGAGAGAGAGAGAGAGGGAGAGAGAGAGAGAGGGGGGGGAACAGAAGACACACAGAAACTTAAGCCAAGCCATACAGATGATAACGCCAATCATGTCGAACGCTTCCGCGTTGCGATGTCAGTCTATATTTGTCAGTGAAACATCCAATTGTTATGATTGCAAACACAAATGCTTGCCAATATATATATATATATATATATATATATATATATATATATATATTATAAATTAATTGATTTAAAATATGGTTTTTCCGCTACATTTTGTAATTAAATTAAAGACATTAGTTCCATTTCATCCTCAAGCGAATTTTGGGTTATACAGTAATTTTAAAAGTTACTCCAAAATTCGCTTGAGGATGAAATGGAACTAATGTCTTTAATTTAATTACAAAATTAAATTCGGGGTTTTTAGCTTCCATTTTTGAAACATGGTTAGAACTGTGTAGCGGAAAAAAACATATTTTAAATCAATTAATTTATAATATTAATGCTCTGTAAATTTACATCGAGCACTATTTTGTAAAAATAAAAATATCTATAAGAACACCTGATTATATATCTTACTGTTCTTTCTTTTATATATATATATATATATATATATATATATATATATATATATATATATATATATATATATATAATTTAAATAAAAACAGACCACTTTAAGGTTCCATGTAATAAATTATTTCACCACAGCCCTTTTAAAAGGACTGCCGATCATCAGACTTTACTTCCAAACAAAAAATGAAAAGAAAATTTACACATTTTTGACGGGGCGTATTAAATATATGTAAATTAACGAAATGAGGAAGTGAGGGGGGGAGAGAGAGAAGACATGAGTGAGTTAGCAGATATTGACACATTTAAACGGTTAACTTTGTCACTCTCTTTCATTCACTCACAATGCTGTTCGAAAATCCAATCACCTGAAGTAGGCCGACGCGAAAAACGGCCGAAACGTCGTGAATATGAGAATAGAGATAAAGACAATAGAAATATGGTTCTACAGAAGGATGTTGTGAATACCATTGACTGGGCGTGTGAACAATGGTGAAGATTGAAGAAAAAGAAAGCAAAATGACGCTTATGTATGGAATCAGAAAGAGTGCTTATAGGATTTGATACCCACGTGACATTTTGAAGACTAAGAGGGGTAGATGCTAACAGTGTGTAGCCCACGAGATTAGCTTGTAAAAATGGATAGTAGAACAGGAATTAGCAAGGATGCTGAAAAGGCAAACATTACTAAGTAATTGTAACTTCCATTAGGTCAACGAATTCTCGTTATCATTTCCGAAATTCTCGTTATAGACGTGACTTTGTAAACGGAGATACTGTTAGTAGTAACACCTTCAAATAGTAATCGCTGAATAGTAATTAATATAATGATCCCTATAGAGAAATAGTATAGTGGATAGTATATAAAATAGCGGTCACTTAGACATCACGCTAATTCCTATTTATACGTTCCCTTTACGATCACGTGATCTACTCATTTAATAATGGAATCGTCCGTGTTTGATCACTGGTGATCTGTGTTCAAACTACGGAGTCAGCAACGACATTTTATTCCTATACAACAGTTACAGAAGATAGGAAGTTGTGGAGAGCTATGATCGCCTACGCTCTGAAGTCACATAGAAAAAGAAAACATTTGTTTTTACGCAATGGACACGGCAAATATTTTCTTTTTTGGTTTTTATCTTCTGTCTCTCACAAATAATAATAATAATAATAATAATAATAATAATAATAACAATCCGAATATAATTAGGCTTATCCCTACATACCTTAGTTAGCACGACCGTTACGTCTTGTCAATACCTCATGGATTGATTGCGTGGACAGAGGGGAAAAACATTACTTGGTTTCAGTGAGAAAATCAAAGAAAGAAAGTTAGAAAGAAAGGTACAAGTAGAGAGAGCGAAGCAGATTAAACTGATATGAACAGATACTACACTTTGATCTCAACCAAATGGGCGAGAAGCGATCGTATTTTTCAGTGTGACCACGTTGCTACGGAATATGACACCAGGCCATAGTTTAGTACAGGAGTTCTTAACCGGGGGTATCCATATCCCTTGGAGGTATGGGAACCAAATGCTGGGGTTATGGGACTCGATTTCTGGGTACTGGTAGTCCCCCACCCCTGTGTTGTGTTTGACAGATTGCACAAAAACAACAGCAAATATCTCACTAGATTAGTAAAAGTCTGTTTTATGTAGTCGAGATACTAAAAAAAAAACTTGCACATTTATGTTCTCTTCCTTTTTCTTGTGTAATAAAACTGAATTATAATTTTATTTTGCTTTCAGTAAAAAAAATATAATAAAGTTATCAATGCTTATGTTTTTTTTTTCATGTTCTATTCCTAGCAATCCATAGCTAAAAAGTACAGTAAATTCAAGCGATTGAAATATTTGGAAGACATATTGGCGAATAATAGGATTGGTGATAATTATTTCGAAGTGGGTATGGAACCTTATTGGAAAATCCATTGGGGGTCTGGAATCATCAAAAAGTTTTCGTGGGTTTATCGGCAATTCATCAGAAAATTAAAATATCAAAAAATAATAATGATGATAATAAGAATTTAACCAGAACTTTCTATCGCCGCTTCATTCAGAAGGCCAGTGGCGTCGCACGGCTTCCCTCCAAATAGCAAATACTGACATTTACACTGGTGTTATCTCTCACAAAAAAGATATGATGCCTGTTCTATCCTTTCTTTAAAGTATTGTATTGTGCCCAGCATATCTTCTGTCTGCAAAAGCGTCGATTAAAACGAGGCTATGACGCAAGCAACGGCGTATCAGATCAGCGGCGCTCCTCATTGGTCAACGACCTCTTCTGAATTGTTGAGTCGGTAAGATGTCTGAATCGACGGTAAAGTGGCGAGCTGGTGATTGAGAGAGCTCGGATTAAAACGTCGCTTCGAAACTACTGTACTTTTGAAGAGACAAATCTTTTCATTTTTGATACCAGTAGCCTTATTCCAACTCGGCTAGAAGTTGTTTTCATAGGATTACAGATCGAATGTGCCAACGGCCAACATTTTGAAGAGAAATAAATGCGTTTCATTTTGATATCTGTATTCTGACAGGATTGGAGACCTTACTTATCACTTAACCCCCGTACTTTTGAAGAGAAATAAATTTCCTTCATTTTGATTCCAGATTCATTATTCTATCTGGTCTCAAAATTGTTTTATAGGATTGGAGACTTTACTTATCAATCAACCCCCGTAATTTTGAAGAGAAATAAATTTCCTTCATTTTGATACCAGTTTTATTATTCTATCTGGTCTCAAAATTGTTTTATAAGATTGGAGACCTTACTTATCAATCAATCCTCGTAATTTTGAAGAGAAATAAATTTCCTTCATTTTGATACCAGTTTCATTATTCTATCTGGTTTCAAAATTGTTTTATAGGATTGGAAACCTTACTTATCAATCAACCCTCGTAATTTTGAAGAGAAATAAATTTCCTTCATTTTGATTCCCGATTCATTATTTTATCTGGTCTCAAAACTGTTTTATAGGATTGGAGACCTTCCTTATCTCCCACCCCAACCAATAATTTAGATACGAGTTTCATTATTCTAGCAGATAGAAAAGAATTTTGAGACCAGAAAAAACCCATTTGGTCTCAAAATTGTTTTCCAGGATTCGACAGCTTACAACTCGACATTCGCAATTTTGTTTCGAGTGCACGTTCATGTAGTAATGGGACAGCCATATATATATATATATATATATATATATATATATATATATATATATATATATATATATACAGTGTGTCCATAAAGTTTGTGTGCACTTAAAAAAGTTATAACTTTATTTGTATTTGCAATAGATATAATTTGTAAAAGGATTAAAAAGAAGTAAATCTATAGTTTTTAACGTTTGAAATTTTATTTAAGTTTCCACATGTTCTCCATTATTAGCAATACAAAAGGTAATACGATTTTGCCGTTTTTCATAAAAAATTGTCAACTGATTTACAGTAATACCTGAAATCACATTAGTTATTTTAGCTATACTTAAAACTAGGTACATTAAACTTTATAACCTTTTTTACAGATCATTTCTATCGCAAATACAAATAAAGTTATATTTTTTTAAATGCACACGCACTTTATGGACACCCTGTATATATATATATATATATATATATATATATATATATATATATATATATATATATATATATATGATAAATATATATTTAAATATATCAAGTAAAATATTGCATAAGTTGCATGACAAAGTAGAAATGTTTTCTTCTGATGTATTTCATCCTTGAGGACGTCATCGAGATAAATTTGTTAGGTTCGATTGCACATGCGCACGAACGATAGGTGCTGGGGATTTTAGAGTTTTTTTTTTTTAAGGATTTATTGTTTTTTATATATCTAGCTGAATTCATTTAGAGTCTTTTTCTTTTTCTTTACATCACTTTTGTTATTAGGTATTTAACACTTTGATAATAGATGATCGGCCAGGAATGGTGAAATGTTGTAAGAGCCAGGGAGTAAAATTACTGTAGATGACCTTACAATTGAGGCACTCTCCAGACATTTACGTCGTAGTGAATTGTTTCTCCTTTGCTTATATATATATATATATATATATATATATATATATATATTGATGCCTGTTTCATTAAATGATATATTTTGTCTATTTTATGTAAATTCTTTTCATATCGTCTGATAAGCTTAATGACATTATCATTAAAAGAAGAAAGAAAAACACAATATTGATAGATATTTTTTAATCCTATCTAAGCTTTCGGCTTACATAACCCACTTGGCTAATTCAATTTGCCTTTTCACAAGGCTACATTTATAATTCCAAGTGTTGATAGTTTGGTGTGCTGCTGGATTATGTAATTTAAATTGTGTGTATTTACACTGTTTTATGCCAGAGGTAATCGGCCTATTCAGATGGTTATTCAACTCAGCATTTGTCCGATTAATTTGTGCCACATTGCGTTTCAATGCACGTCAGTCCCTGTCAGTAATTTTGCAAGTTCGGCCCGAATTGCTACGGTTGCTAGAGGT